CTAGGGTCCTCATTCGGTCGTGAGTGGAAACTGTTTTCTGCGTCCACCTTCCACAGAGGTCTTTTTGGATAATGTATTCATATGGTTCACGCTTCAACCTAATCCCGCGAGGTGTCGCTCCTGATACTGTTTTCAATATTTAATATGTTTTGTTAGTCTATATGGCCGTTTTTTGTATTCCTGGAGTACCTAATCAAGCAAGGTGTCGCTACTGATACTGTTTTCAATATTTCCGTTCTTCAAACCTACCTTTGATTTCACCGTACCGCTGGGGTCCTCATTCGGACATGAGTAGTAACTGTTTTCTGCGTCTACCTTTCACAGAGGTCTTTTTGAAGAATCTATTCGTATGATTCACGCTTCAACCTAATTCCGCGAGGTGTCGCTACTGATACTGTTTTCAATATTTAATATGTTTTGCTAGTCTATATGGCCGTTTCTTGTGTTTCTAGAGTATCCCTTTTCATTTAATAAGTATATGTTATTCCCAAAACATTGAAAAACGCACATCGAACACAAAAAAACGGACCGTAAAGCGTTCTAAATGGCGCCAAAAGACGAAATATGGAAATGATATAATGTTGTGTCCGTTCTTGTTGAAAATAACACATTGTTGACAATAGACCAGTTCCAATTCCCCAATGTTATCGATGAAATATAACATTCAGGTATCAGTACGTATAGGTATATCAAAAATGAATAATTATTTGACTTATGCAATGGAAATTAATAAATCTATTGCATCAGCTATACATTAAAGGTTAACATGCACCAGGAAATTGAAATGGAAAATTTTCTTTCGAAATGAGTGAATGTATTTGCAACGGAGAACTATTTATATAAGGTGAAATTCATTTCGAGAAGTACACAGTTAGTTGAAAATACAGTGAATGTATATACCAAAGAAGAAGATGAAGCAAACAAATTTGGGTGAGTGTTTCATTATCATTATCAACTTCAAAAATTTTGATATAAAGGGTTGGCAAAAAGGGCCCATGGGGGCCTACTTGCCTGGCTACAACTTCCTCACAGTACTACTACTACTAGATTGAGATAAGTGATTAATTTTTTCAGGTGAGAAATACATGAAATATCCTCTTTAATAGAAATCGTTAATATTGAATGAGAAAAATGAATACTTTTTTTTTTTTTTTTTTTTTATTTAGGCATATTCGCATCAACCTAGTGGTTATTAGCGAGTCGTACATGTTCATAATTTTGTTATAATATCGATACATTCCATAAAGTTGATAATATTTGGAATATTACAGTTTCTGCCAATAACGGTATTGATATCTGGAGGGAAGTCACAGTTATTACGCTCCACCCAGTATTTTGGGCATTCAGTGAAAATGTGTTCAACACTCAGCTTTGTTTCACATATGTCACACATTGGCTCTTCGGTGTGATTTAACAGATACCTGTGCGTGAGGTTGGTGTGACCTAAGCGTAGCCGATTGATGAGCACTTGATGTTTTCGGTTCTTCGTTTCGTCAGGCCAAGGTTTCACTACATGTTTAATTTTACATAGTTTTGCACCGGACCTTTGCCACTGAGTTTGCCATTTCTCGATTATCACTGATTTCACTGTTGATTTAATGTCTGTAGATACTACTTTCGTCACTGTTTCGGATCCGGCAGAGGTAATCGCGGCACGAGCACATTGGTCGGCTTTTTCGTTGCCTTGAATTCCAATATGTGATGGAACCCAAATGAAAGAAATATTTTTTCCATGTTGCTGGGCTACATGCAGTTCTCTTTTTATTCTTTGTGCAATAGGGTTTTTAGGGTATAAACACTTCAGTTTGTGTATGGAGCTAAGTGAATCCGTTAAGATAATATATTTCTCTATATCTGCCGCATTGATATAGACCAGCGCACGGTAGATGGCATAAAGCTCTGCACTGAATATACTGGTCGTTGAAGGGAACTTATAGGAGAACGATTCGGATGTTGTAACTATTGCAGCTCCTACTCCTTCATTGGTTTTTGAGGCATCCGTGTAGATTTCTGTGTAATTTGGGTAGTCGGAAATGATTCGGTTGAGTTCATTTTTGATGATCTGGGTGTTGGTATTGAGTTTGTCGAGGCGAGTTAGGCTAGTGTCACAGTTCGGCGGTTTGACAGTCCAGGGAAATGGTGGGTTGAATTTAGTAGGAAACGTTTCCGGTAGGGTTAGATCGAGGGTAAGTAGATGGTCGCGGATTCTCTGGTAAAAAGGTTTATAGGTTCTTGTTCGATTTGTGAAGAAATTCTTATATTTATCGCAGAATGTATTACTGTGAATGGGATTCGTTGGGCTTGCACTTATTGTTGCTGCGTACGCCAAACTGAGGTAGGTACGTCTGTTGTGAAGAGATGGTTCTCCCGTTGCACAGTAGATGCTTTCAATTGGTGTTGTGCAGTAGGCACCTAATGATATTCGCAAGGCTTTGTTGTGGATAGTGTCGAGTAGCTTGAGTGTTGTCTTGTTCGCCGAGTCGTACGCAATACATCCAAAGTCCATTTTAGATCTGATAAGTGTTCTGTAAACGTGCAGTATTGTTTGACCGTCAGATCCCCACTCCTTATGTGCCAGCGTTTTCAACAGATTAAGTCTTCTGTTACAAGACTCGGCCAGATTTCTAATATGTGCATTCCAGTTCAATCTGTCATCGAATATCATACCTAGGAACTTTATAGTTTTGACATATTCAAGATTTTGCCCATATAACTGGAGGGGTGGTGTATCAGCCGTTTCTTTTTTTGAGAAGAGAACACATTTTGTTTTTTCTGTTGAGAAGGCGAATCCGGTTTCTCTTGACCATTGCTCTAAGTTCGAGAGTGCTTCCTGAGACAATGATAATAAAGTGTCTACATTTTTGTTTTTGCAAAAGAATACCAGATCATCCGCATAAAGTCTCGCTTTCATTGGTAATTTAATTTCTTTCAGAATATCATTCATGGCAATAAGGAACAGAGTTGGGCTAATGACAGAACCTTGTGGGGTACCATTTTCCAGTGTGTGTTTGCTCGAGTAAGTTTCGTTTGTTCTAACGCGAAAAGTTCTTATTTTTAGGAAGTTTTGGATGAAAGCGAAGCAGTGCCCACGAATTCTCCATGAGTCTAGTATTTTCATTATGCGGTATCGCCATGCACTGTCGAAAGCCCTTTTTATGTCGAAAAAGATGGCCAAACATTGTTGTTTTACTGCTAGGGCTTCATGAATATCGCTTTCTAAGTCAAGGATATTATCATTGGCGGATCTGTGTTGTCTGAAAGCGCTTTGCTCTGGGGTAAGTAGATTACGGTGTTCAAGGGTCCAGAGCAGTCGTCTGTTGATGATCTTCTCTAGGATTTTACACATCACACATGTGAGAGAGATTGGTCTATATGAATTAGGATCAGTTTTTGGTTTACGTGCTTTGAGAATGGGAACAATTGTAGCCTCTGACCATGCTGATGGAAATTTGTGTTCTATCCATATTATGTTATATATGCGCAAGAGGAGTTCATGTGCAATATCTGGGAGTTTCTTCATGAAGATTACTGGGATCTCATCGGGGCCGTGACTTGTATTTTTGAAGCTTGAGAGGGCATCTTCGTATTCTTCCTTACTTATGGGCATGTTCAGGGGGTCTTCATAGTCTATGACGATGGGTATTTCGACTGCTTCTTCGTCATGTTTTTTTGCCAAGAATGATTCGTTATAATGGGAGGAACAGGAGTTTTCTCTGTACATTTCTGCCAGAGTCTCCGCAATTTCTTGTTTATCTGTTATAGTTCTGTTATCCACTGTCAAGATATTGATTCCTTGCTGAGTATTAGCTCCCGATATGCTCCTCACCTTTTTCCATACTTCGGTCATGGGTGTTGAGCTATTGATACTTGAAATATATTGTCTCCATGAAGTCCGCTTAGCATTCTTGATTGTTGTTCCTGCTATTGCTCTGAGTTTTTTGAATTCAATTATATTTTCTGTAGTTTTGAATCGTTTACATTTGTTGAGTGCCCTTTTACTGTCACGTATTGCCTGTTTGCATTCATTACTCCACCAGGGGACCGAATTATGTTTAGGATTGAAAGAAGTCTTTCCGATAGCACTTTGAGCTCCTTGCAAGACAACCCTGTTGAAGTTTGCTAGGGTTTCGTCGATGTTTTCAGTGATTTCACATGCTGCTATATCTTCTTCTATTGTGGTTGCAAAGAGTTCCCAGTCGGCTGATTTGATATTCCATTTTGGAATCGGTTCATCTGTCTGTTGTCTTCTCAGGTTGTTGGATATCACTATAGGATTATGATCACTATTATAGTTGAAAGATAGAGCTTCCCATGTGAGTAGAGGAGTAAGAGTGGGGTCACACATCGTGAGGTCCAAGACAGAGGATTCTCCTGTGTGCGCATTGAATCTTGTTTTGCTTCCATCGTTTAATAGGGAAAGATTGAAGTGGTTGATTAGTTCTTCGATGGTTCTACCTCTGCGATTGGTGAGAAGAGAACCCCATATGACATTATGGCCATTGAAATCTCCGACAATCATACGTGGTTGAGGAATCTGTTCTATTAAGCTCAGAAGATCCAAGATATCAATTGTTTCATTCGGTGGAAGATATATATTGCAAATAGATGTGTTATTCTCTTCTAATGTGACAGCGATGGCTTCCAGGTTGATGTTTATGTCAACAAGTTTTGCTTGAATATTTTCTTGAACTAGTATTGCTACGCCACCACTGGCCCGCTCCTGTACTCTTCTGTTTTTCAGAAAGGGTTGAAAGTTTCTCAAACTCGAAATTTCATCATTTTTTAGGTGGGTCTCTTGTAGGCAGATAACGTTTGATTTCTGTTCAGAAATCAATACTTGTAGCATTGGTAAATTATGGTAGAAACCATTTATGTTCCACTGCAGAATAGAGTTGAATGCTAAGATGAAAAAAGAAAATTGCATTAGTAAGTGATATCCTGGGAGGAGTCACTTTCAGCATCTGTAATTGTATCGTCAATGGTTTCTCCTCCGAGATGTTTCAGCAGTTTTTTCTTAAGTTTAGTACATCTTGATTTGATATTTCTCTCAGTGAAGTGTGGATATATTTCTGTGAGCATATTCACCAGTGCTAATAGATCGTTGGTGTAGTTTCTGACCACACTCACTGGATCAGTAGATCCCCAAGCATTGTCGAAAAGATCCTTAATTTGAGTGTAATTTAGTACGAATGCAGGTGAGTGTGTTTTTATGAAGTTTTCCGTAGGTTTGAATGAATCTTCAATTTGTTGGTTAGGTTTTGGTTTCTTGGCTCGAGACGTTTTCGAGGGTTTAATGAACGGATCATCTGTGGTTTCTTCTTTATCCGTTTCAGTAATTTCCTCAGTTGGTGTTAGTATATCTTCTACAGGACGTTTACTGGTCACTGTATTTAGAGTTGGCAGAACTTGTGGATCGGATGGTTGTTGTGGATCTCCTGAAATGTCTTCTGTATTTGATACTACTGTTGTTTCATTCGAAGAGGTTTTACACTGCGAAGAAATATGTCCAGCCTTCTTACAGCTGAAACAGGTGAGTCCATCTTGGGAGAGGAAAATACGGTAGGATGTATCGTCAAAAGTTATCATAATTGATTCCGGGATTGTTACATCTGGACTACTGATATAAACCTGTCTTCTGAAACTCAGAATATGGCTGTATTCAGAGATGGATGCGCTTATTCGCAAAAAAGATATAGGGGAAACCGGAGAAAGGCCAATTTTTTGTAATTCATGGTTAAGTAGGTCATGAGGAATAGTTGGAGACACATTGGACAGGACGAGCCGCTCAGCAGGGGTTATTAGTCGCCTCGCTCTAAGGGATTCACCATTTATTTCGATCATTCCATTTTCGTTCATAAATTTATCGACTGTCTCTTTGCTCGAAAGGTACATGCATATTCTCTTGTTCGATAATCTTGATGCAAACAGTATGTTTTTAGGGTTTATTATGGATCCCACTTTGATAAGATAGTCTTGAAGTCGGATTCCGTCTATAGCGTTGAATATGATAGCTTGTTCTTTGGTGGGACAGTGTTGTTGAGTAAGTGCAGCAGAGTAGCTTCTGTTAGTTGGGTTTTCATTTTGGGATCCCCTGTAGTCAGAGGTCCCAGGTGTAGAGTTCAGCGAACTCATTTTAGATCATCGAGTAGAGATAAATTTTCAAGTACGTCCCTGCTCCTCAGGTGTACGGAACATACCGTCATCAAACTGGTCACACAGGATTGCTTTTATTTGTTTATCGATAATTTATAATCGAATGGTCGAGATAGGATATAGATGAAAACACGGAAAATGATTCAAACTGTACTTACAGTTTGGTACTGGATAGGTCACTACCCACTTATGATTTTCACTATAACCAATTTTATAATTTTTAACTTTGAAATCACAGGTTTCTATAAATATGAATATGGAGCTGATATCAGACACGGTAGAACCTTGTCAGTCAGAACCGGAGTAGAGAAGTTCATATCAGTAGTAAAGATTGGCCGGTTCTGGCTCTTCGCCCTAGGTCACCGTCCTCCGACCTTGGGCGGAGTGACCTTGGGCGGGAGTGACCTTGGGCGGGAGTGACCTTGAACGGGTCTGACCTTGGGCGGGAGTAACCTCGTATAGTGAAGTGTCGACAGCGCGCCCTTGAACGCGGAGGTGACCTTGAGGGCGAGACAAAGTGACCTTGAAGGAAGGTTGTACGAGTAACCTTCGCATATGTAACCTTGGGAACGAGTGACCTTGAGTTGTAGAGAGAGAGAGAGAGAGACCTCGACCTTGGAGAGGGAGGTGAAAGCGTGTGCGACCTTGAAAATGGGAGTAGGCTGGTCGAGGTCGTTTTGGTAGAAGTGGGGTGCTGTGTTACGTCACATATCCCAGTTCCTATAAATACATCATTGTATCGTCTGCGAGAGCATATTTCTCCTAATAATACGGAAGATACGCACCACCAACTCGCACATAAAAAATATACCCGCTCAAATAGATTGGGAATATAAAGTGTTTGCAATAAAAGTGTACGTGAACTGTTATATGTAAGTAAAAATCATTTATATACTTTTTACACCTCTTTTCACTCAACAAAGAAGAATTTATAATGGCAGCTCCTAAAATTGATTTGTTAGCGATAAATAATCGAATTAACGAAGACAATGATATCATCAAGCAAACTGTTATCTCATCACTACTCTTGAATAAAAGCTATGTCTTCAAGAAAATATCACTATGTGGAACCAGGTTTGGTAGAAGCGGTTTTGTAATATTGTACGATGAAGAAACTGAGGCTAGTCTGAAATGTTGGTTGCCCAAAAGAGTTGTAGAGTTGCTGAGTGACAGCGACATTGATGAGATGAATTCTTCAAATGGTCTTCATACTCTAGCATATTTGGGCCAGAGTGAGCCATTATATGTAGGTGCAAAAAGGAGGGCTCTCATCAAGTTTGACTTCAAGCAAAATTAATTCGGAATTATTCTACTTAATTATTTCTGATAGGTTTTTTAAGTATAGTTTAGTGAGAAGGGTTTAAAAATTATATGATAATTATTATTACATTAACACAAGCCACTAACGCAGATCGTACCGTTTGCGGTAAGTAATAAATTAGGTTCCAAAAAGAATTCAATTGAAGACAAATCTCCCAAATAATCTCATCATTACCAAACTTTTTTTTTTATCATTTACAGACTCCTGTTCCCCAACATGTGGATGTATTATTCTAGTCAATTCTGGCCGGCAGCGGAAGACATCAAATCAGCAGTGAGGAGGTTGAAATGTCAGTTCTCTGATTTGTCACGTGATGCAATGCATGCGACAAATTATGATTTGAGCATATGCTTCGATCGAGAACAAGTTGAACGACTCTGTAAACAAGCCGAACAATATAGAAAGGGTTATATGTTATGCGCCCGGTTCGAATATGGTAGCTTCACTTTGGGGGAATTTCTTGAAGCAATGGTGGGAGAGGACTTGGACCAATTTCTGTATGAAATTTTTGATTTCCTACCAAACAGCCTGATACCGAAGTTCAACTTGGGGGTTATTCCAGAATCATCCGACAACGAGGAGGAAGAAGAAGAAGAATCGAAATGATGATATTGCTAAGAGATGCTTCAATCATACTATTATCATTTGCATGTATATATATAAATTATGGAATGATGATGATGAGCTCGCATTTTTCATTGTCTATCAATCAAGAAATAAAAAACGATGATTTGTAAAACATTTGTTTACTTTTATTCAATTCAGTGCAGATACATGTGTCGATAATAATAATAATAATAATCATGATGATAATAAATAATAATGAACATAATAATAATAATGAAAAAACTGATCTAATACAATTATAGACTTCGAATGCTCATGGTCGGCTGTGACGGTGGTGGTGGAGGTGGACGGAGGCTAGAATTCGCTCCAGATCTGTAGAGTGTATTCAAGGAGCACCTAACTGTATGGAACCATCTAGTGCGCTATATGTCAAAAATGCATCGTGAAGAATGAGCGCATATACCTTGGTATTAGATGGAAATTTCGATTGGCGTGTCTCAAACTCCAACTTGATATCGACAGTTGAAGATTTCAATGTGTCCGGTTGATGGCTGCAGTCTATGATGAATAACGGATTTTTTCTAAACTCCTTAATACTCATCATTGGTTCGCTCATGTCTTTACCATAATAGCTTCGTTGGAAATTATCGTATGCATAATAGGCTACAGCATCTAACTTCTTTCCAAAATCCAAATTCCACCGTTCATAAGGGTAAACTTCCGAATTCAAATACAGTCGAATATTGTTGACTCCCGCATGAATGAATTACTATTGGTGGTTTCAACAGCCCAAATGTCTGAAGATGTTTCACGAATTGACGGTAATTCATACAGATCCCACATCCTGTATGCAATTTTCACTCTTGCTGTAGAACTTTTATTGAGACGGTTCAGTAATTTCAACCTCTGCTTATCCGATGGCATAATATGTCCTATCTTCCATTCGATTTTGTTAATCTCCACACTGGCATCAATTTCTCCTATATAGCAGTTTTTGAATGATCGAGCTATGATGAGTATCAGCTTCTGTTTCACATCCAATATACCTTTATTATAATCCTCAGCGAACCCCATTAAATATTTTAGCGGTAGTTTTCCACTGAATATGTGACTAGATTTGTCTAGAATTGGCTGATTTTCGCTGTCAATTCCCCATCCGACTGTTTCAAGAAATTTAGCGTTAGAATCTCCATAAGAGATCATGCTCTTCATTGTGGTAGTAATGCCTGGTTTTCGAATCATACATACTTGTTCGCCACCCATTTCATAACGAATTTCATCGAAGAGGAAGGCTAAGGTATTGTTAGATAGATAGCAGGATTTCGTTGCATCATCTGGTGTGAATTTCCCCTCAATATATATGTAGCTATCAGAAATATCGAGTATCAAATCTTGAAAGTTGACAGCTATCCTGATTTCATCAGAATTCTTGAATGATGGTGAACCATATGGTTTGTATGTATGCTCGTGTAGGCTAATTAGTGAATGATCGAAAATTGGTTCATCAAACACCTCCGATTGTAAGCTAGTAGAACTTGTGACAACCATTGTTCACTAATTTCTACTCGTTCGTCGTCGTCTTTGTCGTACTGTCAGACCAATAGATTCCAAAGATGTATATCGCTCGCAGATAATCTATGACGTCCTACCTGACCGGTGAGCTGTCTTTGAATGAATCCTCTACCCCGTTTACACTTCTTCTTAACGGTAGTGTGTAGAATAGTGGGGTTTGCAGCGAGAGATACACGTTTTGATTGGTTTCCGAAGCAGAAACCCATTTTTCCAAACCGTTGTAATAATTAATCGAACTGTTTCAATTCCAATTTTACTATAATCTCCTCTCCGCGAAAGTCAACTAATCGGTCATTATCATCCAAAATTCTCAGTGTGATGTTGTCGATAGACTGACGCCCTGTCGGGCTGATTGGTAGATATATAATATTTTTCGGCTCCTTTGAGAGTTTGTATCCAGGCTCCACATCGACATCGAACTCGTAAAGCGTGTGAACCTCCTCACCATTGGGGTACGCTCCAGTAGTGATATTACAATCAACCCGTATCAATCGTACCTTTATGATGTTCACAGGTAAAGTGGATTCATGCAAAACATTGGGCTTGTAATATTTCGGTTCAAAGCCCAAGACTTTGGCTATAGAATCGTTAATACTCAAAATTAACATAATTTCGGACTTGGGTTCACATTTGAGCGAATTATTGTTAGCTCGAAGGGAGAATACATCATCAATATTTCGCCCATTCAGCGGAGTCCAACTCTCTATAGCCTTTTGTATTTCTCTATTGATTTCATCTATCTCATAGGCGCCTGGTGGTATCTGAAGAACAACGCTTCCCTCTTCGAACCAAATACCTAATTTGTTATTTGTCTCATCTATATTGAGTATAGAGTTGTATGAATAGGAACCGTGTAACCCCAAGCCGTAAGTATTCCTTACATCGAGTTCGATTGGTGGAAAAAAAACTGCACTCAAGATACTGCGATCTCCAGAAATGGTGAATGTTTGCGACATAACTTTTTACAATTGGAAGAGCACACACAGCAAAAACCAAACAACAAGCTTCAGTGTATACAGCAGCAGTAGTAAGAAGTATCAACCTCATTGCTGCCTGCAACAATGAAGAATGTTCTTGTTTTCGTTCGGCGAAGCATTAATATCGAATTTATTGTTAGTTGCCACATTTACATATTCTATTTGACAAAAGCAGCATAATATTTTTCTTGGTATCGGCCCATCATTGTCATCTGCGCTGGAATGGTCACTATCCTCTTGGCGGCGGTGTTCGTGGTGCTCCTCACAAAATCGATATTTTGATACATCTTGATCGTTGCGTAATTGTAGAGTGTAAGTGTAGAGCTATCTCATGTGAAGCGCATCCGATTAAAACCTCTTTCGGCATATCAGCGAGCTGTTTCTCACTCATCTTCAGCAAAGATCGTAATCTCGAGTAAGCCAATAATGCGTGCCCCATTTGTTTGATGCTTTTTCTATCCATATTATAATACGTAGTTTCCACTCTTCGACGAGAGAAATTTGAAGCACAAATGACCACACCAGACTATGTTGTAATCCTG